GATTTTGTGCTCCGTTGCTCCGCCGCTTGCCAGGAGCCGGCCCCTCCACCCCGGTCTATCTTCCCGTAGCTTTGGATTCACTTCTCCGCCAGTCCTACCTTTCAGAAAGTGGTTGATTTTCTGTTTCTAGAGTTGCTGTTCTTCTTCTCTTCAATCTCCCATTGGATTTGTAGGTGTTTGCAATCTTTAGATAAGCTATCTAGCTGATCTCCCGCTACCTGAAGTAGTCTCAGCCTGCTACTTCTCCGCCATCTTCCTCAGTGTGGTTTTGATTTGAATCTCCTTGATGCCTAATGATGATGAACATTTTTTCATGCGTCTGTTAGCCATTTGTATGTCTTTGGAGAAGTGTCTGTTCATGTCTTCTGCCCATTTTTTTATTTGATTATCTGTCTTTTGGGTGTTGTGTTAGGAAGTTCTTTATAGATCTTGGATGTTAGCCCTTTGTCTGTAGTGTCACTTGTAAACATCTTCCATTCCGTGGGTTGCCTGTTTGTTTTGTTGACTGTTTCCTTTGCTATATAGATCTTTTTATCTTGATGAAGTCCCAAAAGTTCATTTTTGCTTTTGTTTCCCTTGCCTCTGGAGATGTGTCTTAAAAGAAATTGCTGTGGCCTATTTTGAAGGGGTTGCTGCCCGTGTTCTCCTCTAGGATCTCACATTGAGGTCTTTCATCCATTTAGAGTTTATCTTCGTGTATGGTATAAGAGAATGGTCCAGTTTCATTCTTCTAAGGAACCTTTCTTTAGTACTTATAAGTTTTCAAATGTTCACTTAGAGGGCACGAATTAAGTAGTATCAACTCTTTTACATGAGAAAGGTGGTACTATGCGGTACTACAAAGATGCCAGGGTACCAGGATCAGTGTCATTGAGTTCCTAATTTCTCCTGGATAGACCATCACAAGGCTACTTCCTTCATTCAATAACCCCAACACCCCTATCACTCAAATTACCTTCAAGCCATTCTGGCTAGATATTGCAGGGAGTGCCCACCCCTCATTTGTCATTCCATTAGTTATCACATGACCTCAGTAAAATAGTGGTCATCCTGAGATGAGGAAAAGCAGCTCTGGCAGCCAGTCCCAGCCTGGCAGTAACAGCAAAAACTTGATGTTCTCCTGTTAGACCACTTTACAGAGTACCAACACCAGTCAAGACCATTCTGTGTTCTTCATGAAATAAGATAAAAACAAGACCACTCTGATCATGTCTAAACAAAGACCAAAAAAAAAAAAAAAAAAAAGTCCAAACCAGAAAAATGACAAAACGTCCCTCCCCCACCTTTTTTTTTAATATGACTATTGCTTCTTTAGCACTTATAGCCCCAATTGTTTCTTTCACCTTCTAGATAAAATTATCAGGATATCCAGTGATGGATTTCCCCTCATTCTGATAATATTCAACCAAAGAAAAATCTCAGTGCCTTAACCCTATCCAGAATCACCTAACACAAGCCCAAATCCCATTAGTTCTTTCTAACACCATCTTTCTGAGATTACCCCTTCTTGAAACAAGCAAATAAATTAAATCTTTTTTTCAGCATGCTTATTTCATATTTTATTGGACTGATGTACATTTCAACATTTCTGAGAAATAAAGCTAACATAGGACTAATGGAGAATAGGGAAGGGGGAGAAGCCATCCACAAATTTGAGTAAACTAAAAAAGTACATAAATCATTGGGTTGGAATAGAAGGAAAACAGAGGTGAAGAAAGGTTTCTAAAAAGAATAGACTTTGTTCTACTTATTGAGTATGTGCTTTAGGGAAGTAATAACTTAGCATTTTGTAAGAGAGAGAGGATGAAGCTAGGTAAAATGAGTCCCAGAATTTTAACAACCTACCAAGTGCCTTTGGTTTGTAAGGGACCATATTCTCCGGCTAAGTTCCTTTCCAGCATTCCCCTGGTATCTTAAATGTTAATAAGTCACAAGAAGTAGAACAAAGACAATAATAACCATAAAATATAAGCATTTCTTTAACTGTGTTGCTAAAATGGCCACTCTGGTCATCAGAGAAGTATGTAGTACTGTGACCTAAGAAGCAGCATATTCTAAGATTAAACTTAATGAAAATTTAAAATTTAAAGACCTGTGAGTTGGGAGTACCTAGGTTGCTCAGTTGGCTAAAAGTCTGCCTTCACCTCAGGTCATAATCTCAGAGTCCTGGAATTGAGTCCTGCATTGAGCTCCCTGCTTAGCAAGGAATCTGCTTCTCCCTCTGCTCCTCATGATCTCTCTCTCTCTCTCTCTCTCTCTCTCTCAAATAAGTAAATAAAATCTTTTTAAAAAAACCAAACACTTATGAGTCAAGAAGTAGGATGAGTGGACAAAATTGAAGTGGACTACCTTATCAATTTCTTGGTAAGAGGAACTAGAATTAGAATCCAGAAATACTATGGAGCAGTTTTAGAGAGAGCACATATCTGAAAAAATGAAAGATAAAAATGGGTTATTTCATTTATTCCATCTACAGAATATTTAGTGCCTTCTGTGGCATGCATTATTTTAAGCACTAGAGGTATGGGCAGAAGGGGAGAATTTTACAGATTCTGTTCTCATGAAGATAATAGGAAAATGGATATTGATATGACAATTGCAATAGGGTGAATCGTAGACCCCCAAAATGTATGCCTATTCCCTAACCCCTAGAAATTGTGAACATGGCCTAATTTGAAAAAAGAATTTTTAAATGCACTTAAGGATCTCAGATAAGAACATCCAGAATTATCCAGATATCTCCTAAATCCAAAGACAAGTATCCTTAGAAGTTATGGAAGAGAAGATACAGACACAGATGAGAAGACCATGTAAAGATGGAAATGGATATTGGGGAGATGTGGCCACAAGCCAAGGATGCCTGGAACCACCAGAAGCTGGAAGATGCAAGGAAGGACCTCCCCTGAATGCTTCAGAGAGAATATTGCCTGTCAATACCTAGATCTTGGACTTCTGGCCTCCAGAACTGCGTGAGACTATATCTCTGCTGTTTTAACCCATCTGAGATGTTGAAATTCATTATAGCAGCCCTAGAAAACTAATGTAATATCTATAAGAATAAGATGTAATTAAAAGTTCCATGAAAGCAGATAACAACAGTTCTTGACCTTGGGTGTCAGAAAATCTTCTCAAGAGGTCAGAGACAAAAATCCTAAAAGAAGACACAAGGTTAAATGGATTCAGACCAAAAACACAATCTCAAGGGTAAATAAGAGAGGATACTTTGCTATGCATTAAGATTTTATGGGTGTTAATATGTAAATAATATGATTATGTAAATTAAACCCTAGTTGACTACAAACTTGATATGGAGGTTTCGTATTTAGAAACCTATTATGTGACACATAAGTGCTCAATACTTTTCCAAACCAACAAAAAGTAGAGTAAATATAGAGTAGGACTCTCTTCTCTTTTGCTTCTGCGTTACTTTAAGTGACTGGGAGGCAGACCATCTGTTCCCAAGCTGAAGAGACACCAGATGTCTTCCCATATCCTCATGAAAGACTCACTCTGAAACTGTTGGGGGACACTGACTGCACCTCCACAAATACCTGCACCAGGTATGTAATCAGCCATGGGTCTAAAATGCAGGTGGACCATGAAGCCTGGACCAAGCCAATAAGTAAACACAGCACAAGGACCAGAAGAGCCATGAAATTAGTGCCAGACTAAAATATGACATTTTTTATTGCAAATAAACTATTTTTGAGTTTTGAATCATTTACCATTTAACAAATGACCCCTGTTCACCAGGTGCTCTTTAAAGCATTTTATAGGGGTGCCTGGGTGGTTCAGTCAGTTTGGCTCAGATCATGATCCCACAGTCCTGGGAGTCCTGCATCGCACCCCCTGATGAGAGGGAGCCTGCTTCTGCCTCTACCCACCCCACCCCCCACCACTGCTTGTGAGCTCTCCCTCCCTTTCAAATAAATAAATAAAATCTTTAAAAAATAATAAAATAAAGCATTTTATAAATATTGATTAGTTTAAACCTAACAAATCTATAAAATATATGGTATTTATAGCTTCATTTTATAAATGAAGAGACAAGCACAGAGAGCTGAAGTAAGTTGCCCAGAGTCACACAGCAGCAGAACTGGGATCCAGACTCATCCTGTCTTGAGTTTCAAAATTTATGCTCTTAATGATTATATTTACTATAGTCTTTATTATCCCATAACAGTAACAACCAAGAAATGCAATTATCATCTTCATTTTACAGATGAAGAAAGTGAGGCCCAAAGAGATGAAGGAACACATCCTACATTACACAGATGCTAATTGTAGAGAGCTTGAATATGATTGTAAGAAGTCAGACTCTAGAGTCCAGGGAATTAACCAGCAGATTATCATGGCTTCAAATCCAGCTGGTTGCCCTTGTGTTAGGAAACATGCCAGCCTTGCTCATATTCTTGGTTTATTTATTGCTTCCCCTCCTCCTTAAAGTTGTCTATAGGTTTTAATATTTGAATAAGAGAATCATCTCCTCATAGTCTTCATTTTACTCAGAAACTCTCAAAGTAAAACTTTATCTTTACTACTTCTAGTTTTTTTTAGATATACTTTTCAAAAAGAAAAAAAATAGCTAATATTTTTTAAGATTTCACTGTATGCCAGACTCTCTGCTGTGTGTTTTACTTCTATTTTTTCCAACTCATCCTACAGAAAAGACTGTAGGTAGGTTTTTTTATTATCTTCATAGACAGATGAGGAATTTGAGGCTTAGAAATGTTAAAAGCTCCCCTGAAGTCACACAGCCAATACTACCAAAGCTCACATTCCATTTCAGGACCTTCAGATTCCAAAGTCCATACTCATACTCTTGATCACACACTAAATTGCCTCTACCTCTCTCTTTCTCTCTCCCCATCCCCCACTTTTTTTTTTTTTTTAAGTAAGCTCCACGGCTAATGTGGAGCCCAACATGGGCTGGAACTCACAACCCTGAGATCAAGACCTGAGCTGAAATCAAGATTCAAGATGGTTAACTGATTGAGCCACCCTGGTGCCCCTAAATTGCTTCCACCTCTTAAACAGATCTGACCATATGTGACTAGTAATCCTTTGAGGAAAGGAAAACATGGGAACAACCACCAGATTTCAGGGCAAGAAGTTTCTGGAAAGGAGCCTCCTTTTCTTGGAATATCAGATGGCTCTTTACAGCCAAGACCTGCAGTAGTTAGCACACAACCTGAGGCCATCCTGACAAGACTACTAATCCTTCGTTGTCATCATCATAAACCCTCACCGAGCTTTGCCATTCAAAGATAGTTTATCACTTCATCTGGATGTGGTCAGGCCCTAAGGAAATGATGGTAACCTGCCCAGAGTAAACTGATCTCAACTTTGAAATAACTGCATATTAACTTATAGAGTCAATAACCCCTGACAGGAAAGATTAGAGTAGGAGACCTGCAAACCAAACCTCCTCAAACACTAAGTCAAGAACTTGGAAGTTGCTTATTTCCTCAGAAGACCCTAAACACACTTACCATACAGGCACTGGAGCTAAGCACTTCCCGTGTCACCATTTTGGAGCTCTGCATCCTTGGAAAATTGACTTTGCTTCTATGAATCGGAGTCTTCCTTTTTTTTTTTTAGATTTTATTTATTTGTGATAAAGAGAGCTTGAGAGAGAGAGAGAGAGATCACAAGAAGGGGGAGTGGGAGAGGGAGAAGCAAGCTCCCTGACCATCAGGGAGCCCAATGTGGGACTCGATCCTAGGACTCTGGGACCATGAACTGAGCTGAAGGCAGCTGCTTAACCCACGGAGCCACCCAGGTGCCCTCGTTCTTTAAATGTCTCTACCATTAACTCCTACCTGAAGGCATTATTGAAAAGATCAGAAATACCTATAAAGTAGGGGCACTTTACAAATGTCACATGAGTATTACTGTCACCTGTATCTTGATATGGGCATGTGCCTGCCACCCAGATCGAAATACCCATGTTCTGTATCCAAGTATCCTTTCCCCAAAATTTTACTGGAGAAAAGCTGATAATTCATTTTAACTTCCTTTCCTAATATCACAACAGAATACAATTCCCGATTTTGCAAATTGCTTTTGTTAGTTTCCTATAGACCAACTGCTTTGTCTGATGTTTCCTAGAAAGCCCTCTCCAGGTCAGGCTGTGGGGCGTGTCACTTCCACGGAACTCCCTACAGGGAAGTACTTTCTTTTGCAGGATGAGGATTCTTATTTTAGCATGCACCCTAGAAAATGACACATAAAGGAATTTGCCAGAGTGGTTATTCATATTATTTTAGGTTCTTATGGCTCTCTACCCTCCAAATACAGCACTATTCTCTCGTCTTCACTGGCATTAAGGGATGGCAGCAAAACTTAATATAAAAAAACTGTCTCTGTAAAGGGTTTAGAGGCAGGTCTCAAAGATGATTAAAGGATCAGAAAACCTAATGTGTAGAGAAAGTGAAAGACACCAATGTACTTTATCTAATGGAGGCAAGAAACCAGACGTCCCCTACTGAAAAATGGAACAAGAGAAAATGAAGTGTGAGGGATGGGGAGAAAGATCTGCAGTCTTCTTAAATGTGGCTATGAGTTATCTTAAGATGTGTCAACCCTCCTCTTTTGGAGACTTAAAAGATGTGGTCTGGATAGATCTACTGGGGACAGGTTTGTTCAGTCCTACATGTATCCTTGCCCATGGGCCGACAGATGGATCAAATGACCTCTCAGCATCCCTTCCAGCCCACACTTCTGTTTTTCTATGATTGTTGGACTGGTATGAAAGCTGAGTCAGATTTGCCCTTGCAATTTTGAGGAGGAGTCAGCTGCTTAAAAAAAAAAAAAAAAAAAAGTAGACTCTTTGTCCCCAAAACAAATGCTTCTCTACCCTGTTCAAGATTAAATTATACCACCAGAGGTGTTATTTCCTTGAGCCGCAAAGCATTTTTGGTCTTCTAGAGTTCCCTACCAGAATGCAGACACTGACACCTAAGTGAGGATCAAGTAACTAAATCTTAACAGATCAGAGATCAAGGCCCTGTGACAGATGAAGGCTGGAAATGCAGGAAGAGGAGAGAGAGTCCCAAACACAGAGAAGAAAGAGACAGGACTGTAAAGGCAAATTGGGTCTAATCGAAAATTGTAGCCTGAGGCTACTCCAGAAGGAAGGATAGGGCCCTCTTTCCTCCCAGCTGAGTTCAGTAATTCCTTCAAAGAATGCAGAGCACTAGCTCCCAGATGTGAAGCACCAGACAAGACACTGGGAACACTGCAGTAAGACAAACACTGCTGGCTCCTGCTTTCCTGCAAAACACTGAACATGGGGTGAACGTAGAGTAAATATTACATGGGGTCTCCACATATGCAACAGTGAGTTGCTAATGTACACACAAGGCACTCTTCTGGGCATCTGGAATGGGGTGGTGACCAAATGGAGCTTACATTCTGATAAGATGAAACTAGGGAATGAAAGAAGCATGAGTTGCTCTAAGAACTCTGACAGAGAGACAAACCTCGCTAAAAAGTCCAACCTGAGAAAGGGATGCTTCTATCACCATGTGAAGCTTGAGTATGGACTGGTAAAAGGTATGCATTGGGGAAGGAGGAAATACCTGGAGAGTGTTCCATTTAAAGTTACCAAATGTTGCTAAGCTACCACAGTTTGTTGTATAGTAAAATAAAAGGTAATTTATATCTTTCTCTCTCTTATTCAAGTATTTGTGTAATAATTTTAAGCATATCAAAGTCATACTTAAAACTGCTTTATCTAATTTTTACCTTGTGGCTTTAATGTATATTGGTCTCTAAACTGTTACTTGTTAATTATGATCAAATTCTATTTCTATATTCTATTTCTGAATGTAAACAAAATGACATATTTCACCTTGTGACATAGATCTTTCCCCACCTTCATGGAATATGAATTATAGGTTGGTTCCTGCACTACAGGTGGACCTGTGGCAGCCCAGCAGTATCTCCTATGTATCAAAAGGAGCAGTTACTGATGTCCATATTCCCCAAAATGGTTCCCAAGCTCTGTTAGCATTCTTACAGGAAGCCAACATCCAGTACAAGTAAGCATTCTTTTTCACTTGCTTAATTCATGAGTACTAAATTGAACTGAATGAGAGGTGTATTCAGGTTATTTACTGAGTGCCTACAACAGCGTTTCAGGCACTGTTTTTCACACTGCAAAAACAGATGCAAATGTAACACAGTTACAGTCACCTTTGATGTGCTTACTAGTGTAATGAAGGAGGAGAGAAGAATCACACTGGCCTATCATTTCACCCTTAACACTAGGTGGCCAGCGGTCACCAAACTGTGGAAAAAACCAAGATGCCCTTAAACGGATGAATGGATAAGGAAGATGTGGTCCATATACACTATGGAGTATTATGCCTCCATCAGAAAGGATGAATACCCAACTTTTATAGCAACATGGACGGGACTGGAAGAGATTATGCTGAGTGAAATAAGTCAAGCAGAGAGTCAATTATCATATGGCTTCATATTATTTGTGGAGCATAACAAATAACATGGAGGACATGGGGAGATGG